AGAGGAAGAAGAATTTCTCCATTGTGCAGCAGGATCTGTCTCTCTTTGCCTTCTCCATGGTGGTGAGACCAAGTTCATATTTCTCGCTATACAGGATCATCAGGCTGCCCGGCTGGGGCCATGGGCATCTCGGCTGTGGCCCTGTATGACTACCAAGGAGGTAGGTTGGAGTGGCCTGAAGGGCCTGGTGACTGGAGAAGGGGACACATGGGGATGCAGGGATTCACACCTGGCCATCCTAACATCTCAACTTCCTCCACAGAGGGAAGCGACGAGCTTTCCTTTGATCCAGATGACGTCATCACTGACATCGAGATGGTGGACGAGGGCTGGTGGCGGGGGCGTTGCCATGGCCACTTTGGACTCTTCCCAGCAAATTATGTCAAGCTCCTCCAGTGACTGGCCCTCTTTGTCTACTGCAACTGTGACTTCCCATGTCCAAAGTGGCTCTGCCTCCACCCCCTCCCCATTCCTGCCTCAGGTGTCTAACAAGATGTATGGGTTGCCTGAGGCTCTAAAAATGCTTCCCTCTCCCGTTCCATTAGAGGCTTGGGGCAGAGACAGCATGAAGAAGGGGTCTCCTTCCCTTCAGCGTCCTCTCTCCCCTGGATGAGCTCATGGACATGTGTCTTGTGGTCCTTCCTCCTTCCCCATGAATGCCCCCTATCCCCCCCACTCTGCTCTCCAACCTTGTGCTCTCCAGACTTCCCAGTTTGCTCACCTGGGAAGGTGTATCTAGATTGCCTGGTTTACCTGGTTATGCTGTTTGCCCACTTTCCTTCCTTGCAGATATATCTCTGAACCTTCTCTCTGCTCAGTTCTAAAATTGGAAATAAAGTGGGACTATGGCTCACCTCTATGCTGAAGTAAACAGTACTTTTTGTGTAGCCCTCAAGGGCTCTGACTCTCCTGGGCTCCAATTCTCCTTCCCTCTTCCAGGCACATGCAGAAGACTCCCTCATCCCCTTCCTGTGCCCCTGCAGCCTGGATGTCAAGGGCTAGGCCTTGTCCTTAGACTGCCCTTTCGACCCAGTCCAAAACAGACCAGCTTGAGGAGTGGCCCTAAGGTGGGCTAAGAGAGGGCCAGGTGGTTTCTGCATTAAAGCAGTTCAGCTTCTTCTGGCTTTAGCCGTTGTGGGAGGCCAGCTACCTTCAGCCTGGGAGTAATGACCATGCTCTTTTAAGACATGGGGATTTGAGATTAGGGGATAGAAAGAAGGAAAGGGGAGGTCTGGCCAACAGAAAAGACTAAAGCTAAAGGAAAATAAACTCATGTGAGGTATAAGAGGATTTGAAGCCAGAGACAGTGGCTTCTGCTCAAGACAGTCCAGGCTTCCTTACAGCTGGACTGAACTCAGGGGCCAGGAGAGATGGTGGATGGAGCAAGCATATCTGTGTGGTCCAGGGCTGGGGAAGGTAAGAAAAGAGGCGAGGACACTGGGCAGCCAGTGACAGGCAGAAGGTGAATCACCAAGCACAACAGGGGGATAGGAGAGACCAGGGCAAGCTGGATTTATCCCAGATGCAGGCTTCACCCTCAGCCAGGTCCAAGTTAGAAGATCCTGGGGCAAAATCAAAAGAAAAGGCAGGGATTTGGTGCAGGGGATCTTTGGTTGGTAGGACATAGAAGCCTGGGCTGTTATCAGTATGGAAGGTGGGTCCAGCTTTCAAAGATGGGGAAGGCATCGGGATCAAGGAGGAGCTGGGATTGGTGGCTGAGACTCAGTTAATTGCTCCAGGACCTCATAGAGCAGGTGAGTTGCCCATGTGTCTAGAGTGCTTCGTCCTTTGGGCTTGTTTCTTGGCTTTTCTTCATGATACATGCTTCTTGGTTTCAACGATGATGTCTATGCCAGTGAATCACAAATCTGTCTCTAGGTGTAACTCACAAGATTCACTCAGTTAGCCTTTCAGAGTGCAAAGCAGCTTTTATTTCCTCTTACAGAGACATTGGGATTTCTAGTATGTAGACATCACCACGGATATACTCAATCTCATCCTTCATTTCAGTTTGATTTGACATCACACATAAATCAGACTTTTACAGTGATTTTCCTGATATATCTCCAAGTTCCACCTTGCCCTTTATGGTGAGGCAGAATCTCCTTTCGCAGAGCCCTGTGCTGCTAAGGCGGCAAGGGCCTCTCTGCCTCAGTTGTACCAGCCTCTCCCTCCCCACTCACTGCTCTGGACTACCCTTCTGGGCAGTGATGCTCACCCAGGGCTCTGCTCATAGGTGGCCCCCTCCCGGCCTGCACAGTCCCTCTCTGCTCCCCTCAGCTGCTTCTTCACCTGGGGCCATGTCTGGCTGACTTGCCTCCACCAGGTGACACTCGCTGCTTGGGCTGCCCACCACAGCGTCACCCCACTAATCAAATCCTGGCTGCCCAATCCCCAGTCTCTCTGAAAGGCTTTCCTATGGTTCCATCTCTCTTCTCACTATAAAATGCGCTTGTTCTTCTTGAAGCCCAGGCTTCAGCACTGCTCTGCAGGCAGCACTCGGGAGGGGAAGTGCAGCTGGATGTGCGCAGCCCTGGAGCCATGTGGGCGGTGCCGCTGCTGTCCCCACCCTGGGCTGCCCCACCCCCCCAGGTTGTGAGCGGAAAGCCCTCTGCCATCTTCCTTTCGCTGTACTGCACCCTGCTTCTCCTGTCCAGCTGTGGCCCCAGATTTTCATCTCCATTGGTTTGTAGTTCTCCTGTCTCTTTTTCTAGTGAAATAAGAAACTCGGAGTGAACTTCAGGAGGTTTCTCCCTCCGTGTGGGAAGGACTAGATTCAAAGCACATGGAACTGACACCTGGAGAACCCTTGTCCTTCTTTCCCACTTCAGTGTTCAGTTGTTTCCAGTCACTCATCTTTACTGAATACAACCTTAGGTCACACTCTAGTTATGTTTTTTAGAAAATGATGCCTTATATACAGATGTGAAATATAAACCAAACATTAGGATTAAGAATAATTGAGTTATATCACCAAACAGTACCAAGTGGCACATTATAATGAAAAGATGAGCATATTTCTGGTCTCAGATTTGCATTACTGCCTTCTTGACTCCTCTCAGAGGTGTCTACGTCATCTATAGCAGCTCTGAACCATGTTCAGATAGACCCAAGTGCCAAGAAGCACCCAAATTGACTAGACTTTCTTTTGTTGGCTAAATTCTTGGTTCTCTGCTTCCCTACTTACCTGTCCTACCCTTTCCCTATTTCTCACTTGCCTGAGGACTGCTAGGACTTCTGGGAAAATGGCACTGATTAAGGTGAGAAGGATATAAACACAAGACAACTCAACTTTCCTGGCTTCAGGTATACCCCAGAAGAACTAAGAGGATACAGTTCTGCATGTGGCCCAAGGACACGAAGCCATACCAAACTAACCAGCTCTATCTGGTTCCCAACTTAAAATCACCATGTGTCTAAAACCTATTTAGAAAATAAAGAAGAGCTGCATTAAATCATAACCATTGCTATGTGAGATAGCTATGTGAGATAAGATTTTGCTGAACTAAAAGTAAGCCTATCCCAACTTTCTGTCATTAGCATGACATCCTTTAGGACAGTGGTTCTCAATTGGAAGCCATTTTGCTTCCAGAGGACTTCCAGCAATATCCAGAGACATATTTGGTTACCACTGTGGGGGGTGCTACTGGCATTTAACGGATAGAGGACAAGGATGCTGCTACGTATCCTATAACACACAGAAGAGTCCCTTATAACAAAGGAGTATCCAATTCAAAATATTAATAGTTCTGAAGTTGATTAGTTCTGCTTTGCGGATGCCAAATTCTACGGTGCATTTTTTTCCTTTTCCTTTTGTTCTTGTGAATATTCACTGTTTGTTACCAAAAACAGCAGTATCATCTATTTTTGTCAGGCTAGAGCCATGACCAGCAATAGGTAGGAGCAATTTTAGGGAACATGTTCACGTCTTTCTCTCCAAGACCCCAATGGGGTGCCCCAGTGGTGTCTAGGACGTGGTGACTGGTACCAAAGGAGCTGCAGTGGACCTTGTCTGGACTTTGCCAAATATGTGGTCTCCTTGGGCTACCCTGTGCATTCTGGCATGATAGGTTGGCATTAGCATACTGAGGTCATTTAAGATAGCAAAAGGTGGTGCTGGCCTATGCCTATACTTTCCCTAACCCAGACTTAGAATACAATTTTCAGAAGAAAAAACTTTGATTAAGTCTTTTTTTTTTTTGAGACAGGATCTTGCTCAGTTGCCTGGGCTAGAGTGTAGTAGTATCATCATAGCTCACTGCTACCTCAAGCTTCTGTATTCAAGTGATCCTCCTGCCTCAGCCTCCTGAATAGCTGGGACGACAGGCATGTGCCACCATGCCCAGATAATTTTTCTAATTTTAGTAGAGACAAGGTCTTGCTCATGCTCAAGCTGGTCTCGAACTCCTGGCCTCAAGTGATGCTCCTGTTTCAGCCTCCCACAGTGCTAGGATTATAGGAATGTGCCACTGTGCCCTGCTTTAAGTCATTATTAAAATGTTAAAATAAGCGGGCTTGTGGCTTTTTTGTCCCAATTTTCTCCATAAATATAGGGTCTCCTTTGGACTCTCCATTTTTCAAGATTTTCCTCCTGTATGTTGCCAAGATGCTATACAACAGACACTGTGGCCTTGCGTCGGTCCCTCATCTGTTGGTCTGTGGTGTCCTCCACAATGCTGGGCTCAGCCAGGGGCTCTACTCTGTTGGGCTGTTAGGACCATCTGAGCTTACAGGCAGTAGGGGACTGAAAGAAGCCCTGGACTTGACTGACAAGACACATCCAGCCCCAGCACCTTCAATGTGTGCCTTCACCCTGGGAGCCCTGGGAAGTAACTCTCTGCACCTCAGCCCCTCCCTGCATTGCCTGCTCCACACATTCGGGAGTGCTGTGTAAACTAAAAGCCTTGTGTAAAAGCAACAGGCCTGTGCTAGTGATGGAATTTCATTGCTTTCTCATCTCTTAAGGAGTTGGGTTCATCTTCCAAATGGCTTCAAGTTACTTATTTTCTCCTCAGACTGATCTGTTCTAAGGGGTAAAAAAAGGAAATGAACTAAGCCATCAATATGGCACTATGGTTACAAGCCAAGGCTTAAGAAACCCTTGGGTTTTGTGTGACCACAGAGGTTTGAAGGTCTGGTGAGACTGTGGAGGTTTTATATTTGAACATCGTGTGTTCCAATACACCCTGATAAAGCAAATGTACAGTTTACTGAAGGGAATCTTCAAAACCACACTCTGTCCTACCAATGCTTTCAGCAACTCCAAGGAGAAATCCAAGACTGGCGGCATCTGAATCTTTAGGAGGTGTATCTTCCTCGCGCTCTGGCTCTAAAGGTGGAGACCAGGCTTTCTCTGGCCTGCTCACGGGGCTCACACATGCTGGTTAAAAGAACCGGGTCAGTTTTGCGCTCTACAATGTTGAAAGGACAGGCCTTCAGGTGCTCGGACATGGAGGTGACTTCATTAAACTCCCAGCTCTTGATTTTGGAGAAGAGGCTGCTGAACTGCCAGATCTGTTGGGAAAGAGAGAAGCTCACAGGTGAACAATGGGGCCACACCATCAGGCTGGCTTTATTTGAACAGTGTAAGGAAAGGCCTTTCTGTTCTTCCTGTTCTTAACCTCCAGAGTGTTTAATTGCTGCTGCAGACATTGTTAGTTCCTTCCCTGGCATCCAATTCCTCATTTGCCTTCCAGTCACTAATCTCCTCAGCCAGCCATGTAGTTGCGAGGGCTCACTGACAGCAGTTCAAATCAGGACAATTAGCACCCATGAGACTCTACTCCAAAACTTGTATTTGAGATATCAAAAACCAGATTATCTATTTCCTTCTGTACTTGAACTGGGAAGCTGCAGTCCTGGGAGCTGTCAGCAGCTACGAGGGACCACCAAGGGAGAACTGTCTTAGAATGGAGCCATTATTGAGGAAGCAAAGGAAAAATATAGAAATTAAAAAAAAATCATTTGGGGCATTTTTATTGAGCTGCTAGATCAAACCTTACCTGGAGCCATTGCCTTTGGACTTTTCAGTTATATAAGTCAATAAATTCCTTTACTGTTTACGCCACTTTAGGCTGGTTTTCTATTGCTTGAAATTAAAGTATTCTAACTAATAAGGGTCTCACTAGAACAGGAACCCCATAGGAGAATTCTGTGAGTCTGGTACCCAGTAAAACACCCTCTGATCTTTCCACCTGGCATGTGGTGGCAAAGTCACTAATTTTAAAATATGATTATGCAAGTAAGCATGTAACCTGATACTCTTTACACCCAGCTACTTCACCCTCAGTTTCTTGTCACTATTCCTGTATAAGAAAAGTTTTTCCTGGGATCTTAGAACTACTTGCCTTTTTACTTTAAAAATCCATGCTAATAGCAGTATCCTTTAATCCCAACTAAATTCTCTTCCTTTCTGCAAGGAAATAAGTTTGTCCCAAATGATATCTAAGAGTGGTCAGCAATCATTGAACTGGGGACAAACTTGAGCCAAAGAATGGATTTCTAGTATATAAGTTAAATTATTTGCGTCTGATTTTATAGAGAAAGGTATTAGCAGTTTTAGACAATACTATTCCTGAGGGCGGTATCTTGGTCTCATTCATGTTTATCCCTAGCACGAGCAGTCAGTGTTTATTTAACACATGGATGCAGGCATGGATACATGAGGGACAGCTTTATAATCACTTTTTGAAGAAGACTGCTCAGGGAATAAATAATAGGAAAAATATACAAATATATAATCAATATAAATAGTTGATCAATAATTCTAACTCTCCAATGCTAGTTTGCAAATACCCATATATTAGGAAGAAACTCAAAAGTGAGGTTACGGAATTATTGGCCTAAGTAGACATCATAAATTCATTTTTCATATTACCAACATATTTACCCTGAGAAAGGATGCTATGAGCATCTGGGATATGAAGAATTAGGAGTCTCACTTCTGTATGGTACAACCTGGTAGATGTGATAACACAGATAAACAGCCATGACTCACAGGGGGAAAGGAGGAACGTTTTTCCTAAGGGGGAGATTCTTTGATTTATACAGTAGGGTTTTTGGAAAAATTAAATTAGCATTAGAACCAAGGGGATTCAGTGGGCCAAATTCATTCAGAATTCCAAAATGCCTTTCTCAAAGGAAAAAATTGTTTTTAAATATTAGTTGACATGGGACTGAGAATTTGTTGGCCTACTGTATCAATCAGAGTCCGAGCAGGAAACAGATGGTACACTCAAACTGGGTAATCTGAATAGGGTTTTAGAAAGGAATGCTTTACAAACACATAGGTGGGTGTAGGAAAGCCTCAGGGTCCAATGTAGTAACCCAGGGCTAGAGAGTTAGAAGGCCTGGAGGTAGAAGGAAGGTTACTGGGACCCAGAGTGACCGTGTGGAGAATGCTACCTGATAGCATTCAGTGAAGGACAGAGCCAGTTCAAAGTGTCAGGAAGGGGAGGAAGCATGCAGGGAGAAAAAGATACTTCGCCCTCACTCTTCCCCTGCCTCCCATCTCCTGCTGATACACTCCATTAGATTAGCCCACCGGCAGCTGGAGGGCAAGGGAGCTAGTTGAGGCAGTCTGAACAGATCGGCCTCCTGGGGGCAGACCAACCTGAAGAAGGAAGGAGAATGGATCATGTGAGCAAATGGAAGATATTCAGGACACATTAGAGATAAGCGGCACTACCATCTGGGTTGCTATTTGCATGTTCAAGACTGGCCTCCTTGAGTCAGTTTTATTCCAACAGCAACCAATGCCAATGCCTAGTGCAGTGCTTGGCACATAAAAAGCTCTTAATAAATATTTGAGGAATGCATGAATAAATAAATGAGTGTTTACTTGCCTGTCTGTGGACTCTCCAGGAGGGGCCTCTGTGGGAATACCTCTTCTTCCACTGCAGGAGGACCATCCCTCTCTCTTGTAGCAAAGTGGCGCAGATATTCCTCATCAGCACAGACACCTGGGAGAGCTGGGACAGGCTGATGCTGTCTAAGAACCCAGCAATGTACTGCAAAATCTCCAGCGGCAGGCTGGTTAGAGAATTCTGGCTTTTTCCTCCGTGGCCTGAGAGATAGTTGTTTTTTCTTCCCACACTCAGCTCTGGAGCAACCTCCGGCTTGATGGCAAAGGTCTTGAGCTCCTGACTATAGATCACTTTTGCCTTTTGCCCCGGGGGACGGAAATAATTTTGAACAAAGGTACATCCCAAGTAGGCGAGGGGGCATCGGTGCTGGAACCAGCCGTTGAGACATGACTGAATGTCTGTGTGAACATTCTTGAAGTGCAGGGGGAACTCATCCCTCCTGAAGAATTTGTTGCAAGTGAAAGTGAAAGCAGAGCTGCTCTTGTTGTGTCTCCTGGTCACACACTCGCTGTGGAGCTCCACGTGGAGCCCCCCGGGGCTGGCAGTGGTTACCAGGTCAGCCAGCACCGTCCCAGAGGAGAACTGTTCTGCCTCCAAGTTGTACGTCTGTGTGGCAAAATCCATGAACAGCCCATCGATGCTCCTGGATTCAGAGATGACGTGACCTTTGAGCTCTCTTTCCAAAGCACACTGGAGGGTGGTCTTGATGAGATCTGATTTGGGCAGGTCCTCCACGGTGATGCCCAGATCTGAAGTGTCCACCGCCTTGTGCTCGCTTGGCCTACAGCTCTGCATGGCATCTCCAATTCGAGCTCGCTTTCCGCAGTAGCTCACCGGAACTTTGAAGGTGTGAACAGTCTTAACTTCCTGAGCCTCAAGGTTGCCGTAAACAAAGTCTCTCTCCTTAGGCGTACAAGCCGGCATCTGGCCAAAGTGAATAAGCATCCGCCCGTTGTGCACTAGATACATATTATAGTCCTTTGCATCCACAGCTGTTTTCAGTCTTTCCAGAACGCCGTCCTGCCACGGGGCAAGCCCTGTGGTTTCCATGGTTGTGTGGAAGTCCCGCGGCGTCTGCGCGCCCTGGGGTTCCTTCCCTTGGGCAGCGCCCTCTCCCTCTGCCGCGTCTCGGCCGCTGGGGACCTGGCCTTTCCCCAAGCCGGGCCTGCTCTGGCTCTCGCAGCTCGCCGGCGACTTCGCTAAAGCAGACGCTGCGTGCTCTTTGCTGAACATATTCTCCCACTTGCCGAACTTGTCCAGGTCCAGCCCTTCCTTGGTTTTGGCTAAGGCCTCTCGTTCTTCTCGACTCAGCTCTGCCGCCTCCCCGTCAGCGGGCGACAGGCAGCCGCGTGGCGGCGCCCCGGCACCCGCTGCGCCCCCCGCTCCTCCCGTGCGCTCCGCGCCCGCGCCCCCGTTCACAGCTGCCGCCTCCTCGGCCGCGTCTCTCCTTTCTGGGAAAAGTTCTACCATCTTCAAGGATCTGAAGAGGACTTTCTGGTCCTGCAGGGCCAGGGCTGTGTCCAGACACTCCTCGCTGGGGGCCTCTTTCATGATGTTCTCGTGGAGGGTGGTTTCCGAGTCCACGTTGGGCCAGCGGTTCCACTCCATGGAGCAGCAGACCGCGCTGGCGGGGCACGCCTGCAGGTGCTTGGCCCGCTTGTGGCGGGGCATGGAGAGCGGGCAGCCGTATTCCGAGTTGAGGCACGGAACCTGCTCCAGCGGGCAGAGGAGCGCGTGCTCCGCCTCTTTGCACGCGTGGAAGGCAGCGCCGCAGAGCAGGCGGCAGCTCCTCACCGGGCAGGAGACGCCGGGCTCGGCCGGAGCGTGGCAGTGGCGGTCGAAGCATCCCTCGCAGTGCGGGTGCTGCCCGGGGGGCGGGCGGCGTGCCCTGCCCTGCACGCATCGTGGGCCGGGGGAAGAGAAAACAAGTGAATGCTGGAGGAGCAGCTCCACGCATGTCTGTGAGTGTGTTTTAATTGACTTAATTCCTGTTTATACGTGCTTTCTGTAGAAACCTTTTACTATATAGAAAGCCACAGAGAAGAAAGCAAAAATCAATCATAATCCCACAATCCAGAAATAACAACTATAAACACTCTTTTAAAATGTTTCCAGTAGTTCATTGGGTGTATATTGAGAATAGAATCGAAAAAAAAAAGCTGAACGTAATGGACTGCACTGTTGACAATTGTTATTTTTGAGTTGTGGATTATGGGTGACTTACGTTACACAGTTTTGCATCCTGCCTTTTAACTTGGTATTAGAACAGGAGACAAATGGACCGATTTATTAATTATTCTTTGCATACTTTCTTTGTAATGGCAGTGTAACGTTCCAGAATATGGGTGTGCTGTTATTCAACCAACCACCACCAGAGGGCGCGCTGGGAGGACCGCGGTCCCAGCTGGCTTTGGTCGCATTTGCGTCGCTTGTGTCTGGCACGGGGCCTAGACCTTTGTAGGTGTTAGCAAGTCAATAATGGTTGCTGAATGAAGGAATTGTTAGCCATTTAGATCATTGCTGGATATTTTGCTATTTTATTTTTAAATTTTCACTAAAAATCTTTGCTCACAGATCTTTCCCGACTCTCTGCTTTCCCCTTACTGTGTCAATTTCTTCCAAGTTCTGTTCAATATCTTTGGTTTGACAAAAAGCTGATAAATACTATCAAACTATAAGGACAAGTCTGCCAGATGCTTGGGCTGAAAGCTAAAAAAAGCAAGACCTGGACCTCTGAAAAGCAAAACTCCAATAAAGTACTTGGTACTTACCATAGCTTCCCAATTTCTTCTTACTTCTTGAGTCTAGGGGAAAATATGAAAATATTTATCAGTGTGAATGATAAATAAGATTAGTAAGAAAAGCATTGTGGTCATCTATAGTCACAGGGGCCAAAGAGACTTCACATTGCCTCTCATTTAATTCCTTCTGCCATCCTGGAGATGTCCTCGCCCCCATTTTATAGTCAAGGAAACAGAAGCTGGAAGAAGTTAAGTAACCTGTCAAGGTCACACAGCGATACATTCAGCTTTGCCACCCAGGCCACGCTGGCCCATGTTCTTTTCACTGACCCACACTGCCCTCCTACGGGGCATGTTACCAAGCATGGGATGTGTAATTTCTGCTCCCTGTAACTTCTCCCTATTGTCTACTTGCAATTATCCTGGCGTTCCAGGCACCCTTCCACCTCCAGTCTGGACCAAGTTACCTTCTTCTAACCTTCTCTCCCACTGGGGCTTCCTGTCTACTTAGAGTTCAGCCTGATGTCCAGCTTGGTCTGGGGCAGTATGTAAGTGTCTGTAAAATACCCATCCATCACGTGCCATTCGTCCTGGTGTATTCAGCTGTGCTATGGCTGGAGCAGGGGACAAAACCTCCAAGGCCCCAGAAGCCGAGACTCTGGCAAGTGAAAGAGAAGATGCCCTGCTTTTGGGGGAGTGACATTACTCAGCTCTGGTCAGTTGGTCCCATGTGGGAATGTGTTGCCAGATCTTCTGGTTTTTCCAGAGAAAGTGGGGAGGCAGACTTTTGTTAGTGGTGGTATAGTGTAGTGGTTAGGAGACAGACTGCACAGGTTTCAACAGTAACGCTACAAGTCAGTAGTTATGAGACTTTGGGAAAGTTGTTTAACCTCTTTGTTCATCAGTTTCCCCATCTGTAAAGGGAAGATGATTATACCTATCCCACAGTGCTGTTGTAAGGAGTAAATGTTTTAAATACACATGAAACTCTTAGAACAGTGCTTGTCTCATAGAGAATGATCTACATGTTTGCTATTATAAAATAAGTATTTTATATTTCATCATAATGTAAAATATTTTATTATATAATTTATCAAAATAAAAGCCCTCAGAATTTTAAATATTGGCAACTAATTTAATTTAAAAAGACAACACTCTATTTGAGCCAAGAAAAAAATGTGAACACTGATTAGATAAGATCAGCAGGTTGCCTGGTCTAGAGAATTTGTAAGAATTTCACAGCCAAATGCGACAACTTTGGGGGGCACCAGGAAGAAGTAGAGCCAGAGGAGAGACCAGAGAGCTAAGAGTCAGGACTATGTTTTCACAGATGTAAAGGAAAGAGTGACAGTAGCCTCAAATGCCACTGCAAAGCTAAGAAGAACAATGATGACAAGGCCACTGCTTATGAGAGATTTCCAAAGAGCTCCTGAATGTGACAATTCAGCTGTGGAATGGGACCCTTGGCCATTCAAAATGTGTTGCTTGCACAGAGGGGAGGGTAAAGCTATTAAGCACACACTCCAGTGTTGGCAGGGCCTTTGTCCTGCCTGCGAGAATATGACCATCCACTTTCTATTCAGAAGAGAAATCAAGATGGAGTCTGGCCGATCCTGAGCCCCCTGCTAGTTTGTAGGTAGGGGAGAAGAGGCCGATCACAAATGGAACAAGCCTATGTGAACAAAGCTACCAGCACCGGCAACATCTAACTTGATACTTGCCACCCTGTTCTGCCACGAAGTTGAGCTCAGTCCCTGGGAAGAGAGATGAAGGGCTGGCTAGTTCTGTGTGCTCCATCTGTAGTGAGAACTCTGCTCCAGCAGCAGGGATGTGTCTGGCTAGAGGCACATTGTGATGAGCTCTAAGTCCAATCATTTCTTACCCTTCAGCACTAAGGAGTATGGTTTAGGGAACAGTGCTGTTGAAGCTGGAAACATTTGTGGTATAGCCTTATTGCACTCCACCTCTTTGAAGTTATTTGAAATTATCCCTTTAAGAGAAAACAATGCCAGTGGACAACAAAGATGCTTTTCATAAAGCTGCTATTTAAAGACCTTCCACCAGGCTCTGGAGCTACACCAGGTGAGTGACTTTGAGAGAGGACATGTGCAGAGTAGAAGGGCACAGCAAGTGAAGACCACTCTGGAGAAGTTTGGCAGTGGAAGGAAGGAAGACACATATAGTGTAAGGGCATAAAAAAATCACACGTGAAACCTTTGTTGTATATCTGAGGGAAATTGTTCCTACTAAGATAAGGGTCGTACCGAATTCTTGATAGTGTGATTATGGCTGGGTAAGTAGGGTGTGACCAATCATTCTGGTTTGCCTGGGACTCTCCTGGAAGTCCCCAGTCCCAGGTGAACATGGACAGTTGATTAGTCACCTTAAATTGGAGCCAACTGGTGTTGCCCGAAATTGATCAAATTAGATGTAGCATTGGTTGCCTTGTGATAGAAGATGCCCTGTTCTCTTAATCTTCTCTGTTCCAGTACACAGTGACTGGGTGACTGGATCCTTACCCTCCGTGGGGTTTATCTGACTTTCCTAGGTTGAGAAGTTTCTCTGAGTTTTGGGTGTCAGGGAGGAAGAGAAATAAAATTTTAGTGTCTTTTACATGCCTTTATACAATATCTGATTTAATTCTCACAGCAACCACGTGAGGTGGGTTTTACCATTTCCAGTTTAGAGATAAGGATACCGAGGCACAAAGAGGCCTAGGTTTCTCTGGCTTCACACTCTGTACCTTTTGCTACATCACACTGTGTCGCTCAGAAGCCCACAGGTCCATCCCCATGATCTGGGGAGAATGCAAGCCCATGGCTAGAGGTGAGGCAAGAATAGTGTTCATAGTAGAATCTTTCCAGACTGGACTCTTCTGGGCCACATCCCATACCGTGCCTGCTCTGAGTAGAGGGAAAACGAGGAGCATCTAGGTCTGATAGCTTTGCATTTCAGAAACGACAAGTGTGAAAGGGAAGGTTTTAGGGCTAAAAATATGCACTACGATATGCATACTGAGATTTAAAATGAAACACCAACTAAATCAAAGCACACAGATTATAGAAATTCTTCACTGTGAGAAAGATGACAAAAACCTATGCCTGAGACAGAGTATGGTTATCCAGATGCCATTTCCCCCTACAATTTCTATGCCCTATGTGCACCTTTAAAGTCTTGCTTTCTACCTGGGAAGGCAATATATCCCATCCTCTTAAAAATGAACTTTAGTCAAGTATATGGCCAACACACTCTCCCCAGAACATGAATTTTAAAGTTCTTCTGTTTATAGGAGACAGCAGTCAAAATAATGTAATTTAGGCTTAAATAGTCCAAAGATCTACATGGAACTAGATTTTACTGGTTATACTGGATGTAGTTTTAAGTGGAATGTAAGTCAGTGGAAGAACCAGGTGTGTGAGTTTGAGGCGTGGGTTTCTTTAAAGGAATAGGGAAGCATTTAGAACTCAGCAAGGGAGCAGCAACCTGATTGGATGCAGGTTGTGGTGCTATGATTCAGAAAGGAGTAAGTTGATAAGCAAAGGCAAGGTGGCTAGAACAGTGGGTCTCAAAGTGTGGTCCCTGAAGTGACAGTATCTGGCGTTACCTGTGAGCTGATTAGAAATGCAAATTCCTGGGCCCCAGCCCAGGCCTACTGAATCTACCTGCTGAATCCGGCTGATTCTGATGTAAGCTCAAGTTTGAGAACCACTGAGCTAGAAGCAGCTTGGTATTGTGTCTCAATCAAAAAGGAACTACTGCCAGTTAGATGGAAAGGCCTTGACGAAAGATCTGGAAAAGCTGTGGGCAAATTCTATGCCCTTCTGTCTCCACCACCACCACCCCAGGCCAGGCACGATCATCTCTCATCTGTTCTAGTGCAATGGCTTTATAATCAGTCTCTTCCCTCCTGTCTTGCACTACCTAATCCATATTCACCAGTAGAGTGATTTTAAAAATTAGGTTATACTCTCCCACTTAATAGGATTCCCATGATAAGGGCTAAGCCCTGAAGTCCTTCCCTTGGCCCACAATACTCTGCTTGCACCTGACCTTGTACCACCATGCGCTTTGCCCCAGCCTTGTCACTCATCCCAGCGTAGGGCCATTGTACTTGTTCTTTCCACCAGGAGGACCTTCCTCTGCTCCTTATTTGCATTATGGGCTCCTATTTGCCATTTATGATGGATTCCAGCTTCCAAGTTACCTCCACAGAGGCTCCCCTGACAACCCCAATATAAGGTAAATCAATGAGCACTCTTGTGAATTAGCTGAGTAATTTTTGATGTTATTTAATGTCCCTAAAGATAACTTATTCATTCATAAAATGCAGCTCATAATAACCCATAGGATTGTATCAGCATCAAATGAGATAAAATAGAGGAAGTGTCTAATACATGAGTAAGTCAACTGTTAGTCCTTCCTCCATGAAGAAGGTCATTGTCATGGCCACCTCCCTTGTCCAGGCTTTCATTTCTTCCCGTTACATCCTCCTGTAGCCCTTGGCTGCCCTTCCAATTTTCAATTCCTCCTTGCTCCAACATTATCTTATGCACCATTACCGGCTTAATAATCTTCAAACCCTATTTAAAAAAAAAAAAAAAATCTTAATGTAAATCCTCCTACCACCCCTGACCCTTTTGACCCCTGAGCACTTAGGAATTCAAATGGTTCTGCTCAGGCCTGGGACCTTTTAGATGCCATAGAAACAACCTTAGGGCATCTTTGTTTCCGTGGTCCAAATTTGTAATGTTCATTGTTCACATACATTACAATGTTTATTGTTCACCTACATTATTCTACTCATTAAGAACAGGAGGAGGGTGCTGATTGGACTCTCTGGGGTTGGCTGAGGGAGTCAGCGGCACCCACTGGAAGCTGCTGTGATGCCGTGAGCGGTGAGAGGTTCTGATGACAGGCCACACTGGAGCCAAGAGCCGTGGCCAGCGGGCTTGTGCAGGCGGTGGGAGGAGCTCTGACGGGAATATCAAAGGTCTCGAGCACCCGTGGGAATGGGTTCCTAGCACTGGAGAGTGGGTGCAGCTGACACTGGCCCCAGCACTCAA